GTGAACAAGAAGCGCCGACCGTCGGATATTCAGGTAGGAAGCTATGTCTGGGTCAAGATGTCTGAATTCTGTGAAGAAGAGGGAGTCTCACGCAAACTTCTCCCACTCTACTATGGGCCCTGGGAAGTTTTGGATGTGATTGGTGAAGATCACTTTGGCCCTTCGTACGTCGTTGATGTGCCAGCCCATCTGCGCACATACCCCGTGTTCCACACGTCCAAACTGTACCTCCACTGTGATGCTATCCCTCGCGCGATCGAAGGCAGGCATGAGATAGACCGAATTAAACAACACGTAGGGAAGGGACACAACAAACAGTACCAGGTTCACTTTATGTATCACCCGTTAGATGATATGTACTGGATTTCCAAGTAAGAACTGCTACGCAGCGCACCGCGCGTTGTTAAAGCCTACGAGCGACAAATCGCCACTAACGTTAAGCCTTAGATCTCTGCAAGGCTCACAGCGACAGAGTATTCTAGGAATCTCTTTGCCTTGCTTGCCTATGATGCGTTTGTCGAGGACTCAGAATGAGTTACTCCCTAGAAGGGACCTCGCTCTTGAGGGTGGAGTAGTGTGATGACCCGTCCAAAGATGGACTGAAACACACAACTGATTTCTGAGTTTTGCTCATAGATTGAATGCCTTGCTGAGTGCCTGCTACTAAGTCTGTGTGTGCACGCTTGTTGGACTGCATGTCTGTCTGAGTACTGGTTGGCTTGAGTGTGTGTGTGACCATGCCTGTCTGAGTGTTGGTTGGCTTGGGTGTGTGTGTGACCGTGCCTGTCTGAGTGCTGGTTGTCATGAGTATGTGTGTGGCCCGTCAGGGCACTTGCTCGGTCGTTGGGCCCTCAGGGCCGGTACTTACCTGTGACCGTGACATTGAGGGGTTGCTGCGGGGAAAAGCAGTCAAGTAACGGGTAGGCCGGTACCGCACCTGGAAGGGGTAGATGTGCAGGTACCGGAGGCCGAGCAAAAGAAGACAAAAGTGGCATTTTTAGAGGCCCAGTAGTGTAGGCTAGGTCTAGGCGGATACCAGTCTGAGTCTAGGGCCTGTATGGGCAATATCAGAGTCTGCAATAATGTTTCCCTCCAAAAAGGAGGAGGTACCGGTTTCCTGGGAGGCCAAGCGGCCTGGAAGTCACCGCCCAAGAGGCAAAGCAGGCCCCTAGATCTTCGGGCCGGGCGGAGAGTCCGACCTCTTTTTCAGTGTGCAAGCTTGGCAACACACTGGTGGAGCGCTGGCTGGAGCAGCACTATCCTGGAGCAGCACTGTTGGGGAGGAAGGAGAAGGACACGAGGGAGGAAGAAGGAAGGAAGGGGGAGGAGCGCCAGGGGTACTTACCTGGCTATGGTGGCAGCCATCTTCATCACCTTGGTGGGCGCTGCAGCAGGGAGTCCCCAACTGGGGAGAGTCACACTAAGAAGCTTCAAGGCAGGGTTGGGCATGGCGGCTTGAGCTAGAGCAGCCATAGCTGCTTTGGGTTGTCCTTTGGACATCTGGGCAAGGCCTAGTAGTCTGCCATAGCCTCGGCCTATGAGGGTGGCGGCCATGGCTATGGTGGACCTCAAGTGATACCTGCAGGAGAAGAGGGACTCGGACATTGATTCTGGATCAGTCATTCGACATTGTATTATTATTTCTTGTATGAATAAGAGAAGGGGGAGATAAGCAGGAGGAGATTGTCGGGCGAAGAAGACGAGCCTTATCATATGTTTTTGTTGGTGTACATCATCTTCTTCTTCTTTCGTACTTCTTCTTCTTCTTCTTCTTCTTCTTCTAATCCTCTCTCTCCTCTCAAGTTCATTCATTTCTTTCTGCAATTGGATAACATTGTACTTTCCGATGGATGTGTATCTCAAAATTGGCCAGGGTCATAACATTGGTATCAGAGCGGAAAAGTTTGAACTTCGCAACAAAAAATTTCGAGAAAAAGAAAAAAATACTCGTTGGGAATCTTGGGATGTTCAGTAGGCCTCCCAATTCTCCCTGAAGTGCGAAATTATGAATGAGAAAAAAATTCGAACCTTCGGACTACAGACGAGTGTCCGATAAGAATTCCGAAAAGAAACTACAAACAAATATTCGGAATTACTCAGATGAGAGTACGCGCAGTTTGGAAAATGATAATTGCAAGAGGTATTTCCCGTACCGTTTTGAGAAAAACGAATCTCGAAAAAAAAAAAAAATTTCAGAATTCCAAATAACAGAAAATTGCAAAAGGAAATCAAAATTTTTGAACAAAAGATATTCCGGATTTCCAACAACGAAATTTCGAATTTTCAGAAGAAAACGAGAACGGAAATTTCAGGTGTTGCGCTATTGCGATTTTTCACAACAGAAATAGCGGAAAAACAAAATCCAAGAAAAGAAAAAAATTTTGATTTTCGGCAGTGAGGTCAAAATCGTGATTTTGGGGGCTAACTAGTGTGCTCTAATAAATCAATCAAGACTAATCAGCTACTTAGTCCCCACACACGTGTCGGATCAGGTTGTCCTGATTCACGTGCGGTGTTCCAATACCAACTGTTACATGCCTAGTTGGGCGATGTACATAATAAACCGAGGATCCGCAATGTGATAAAAAGGACTGAATGGATAATGCAGTGCAAGTGAAATCTCAACAAGCAGTGTACATTCTGATCAATACAAAAATGGTGCTTTATAGCGCAGTGGAAGACTTAGATACAAATCCTCACCTGACCGGGACTGACCTCTATCACGTAGTGTAAAACAGCGCAGCAGAATGCTAGAATACCAATGACTAGCCCAATCAATGTTGCAACGCAGACCAAACATACATCACCCTCATCACAAGGTGTGAAGGGACTTGGTGCTATACACAGGAAGAAGGTGCCAAGCCCAGATCATGCACAGACGAATCGGAGGGAAACAGACGAAGAAGAGGGGGAGAGATGGGAATGTCGTCAACACCAAGTCTTTGTTACAAGTCCCAAATAATCCCTTGTCAAAATGTCTGAAGCCCAAATGTCGAGTCTGGATCCCAATATCACCAAGCTCTCTCTTTTTCTCGTAGTCTGCTGATGCAGTGAAGTCAGGTAGCAAGAGGGTGAGAGGGAGATGGTGGACTGAGAAGAGGAAGAAGAAGAACTCTCTCTCTCTCTCTCACGTGCCAGGTACTAACCTGTGAAGTTGGTGTTGTGTTGCAGGTACCTCGAAGACAGAGCTGGAGCTATGGCGCTGTAGGTAAGTCTCCCTAGCCTCCGCCCAATCTCTCTCTCTCTCCAGTACTAGCCTAGCTCCTACTAGCACCCAGCGATGAAGACAATTGCTAACGCTACTAGCGCCCAACGCTGAAGACTACTGCTAGCACTACCACTACTCCTGCAGCGCTCCTCCAGAGTGCTGCTGCCGAATCCTGAAGACTACCTCCTGCCTCCTTAACTGCACGTGAAGTGCCTGGGAAGTACCTAGGAACTACCTGCCGCCGTGCAGGGCGGGCCAGTCCTATACAGTGCTGGCCCGTCCAAGAGGCTGCTCTTGCCAATGCCGAAACGTGCCAGACCCTGACGTTGAAGCTCAACCAGGGGTTGTCTTGAAAACAGGCCCAAAATGGCCTGTGCTAAAACCCTGGTTTGGTGCCTGAGTTTCAGGGCGGGTCGATCTTATGAGGGCCTGAAAATGGTCCTCAGTTTCAGGCTAAAAAGGCTCATGGCCGAAAAGGCCCTGATTTAGGCTGAAACGACACAGGGCCTGTAGGCCCTTGTTTTCAGGCTTTCACGCTGAAACGACACAAGGCCTGTAGGCCCTTGTTTTCAGGCTTTTGGCCTGAAAACGTCACAGGCCTGAAAGGGGCCCGTGCAGCCTGTTGCAGGCGCAGCATGTAACAGGGGTGCATGTGTGTTCACTGTTCATCATTTTTTTTCTTGCATTTATGCTTGTTGTTTGCTTGGGCATGGGGGTGCTTCCTGTCACACCACTTGCCACATGGCATCGAGCGGGGACACTTGGGAGGGGCAAGAGAGAGAGAGAGAGAGAGAGAGAGAGAGAGAGAGAGAGAGAGAGAGAGAGAGAGAGAGAGAGAGAGAGAGAGAGAGAGAGGTGCATGTGTGTTCGTCATTTTTTTTCATGCATTTGTGCTTGTTGTTTGCTTGTGCAAGGAAAATGAGCGATAGCGAACGTCAGAAATCAAACAGCATCATACACAAGAGACCAGGTAGTCGTGACCTCGAACCAATAGCAGAATTGCATCACGAATTTCACCAAATAAGAGCACAGCGAAAGCTCATAATTGACAATGCTGGAATAGTCTCATCATCATCAACGAAGAACCAATGTTGATATCCTATCTGGCGCTCTGTGCCCAGACTACAGATGGCAGATCCTATCTAGCCTAATCTACAATGCCGCCGATGACATCAACAGCTCCCTGAAGTACGAGCAGATCTCGGCCAATGCCATACGCTTCAAGCACCAGGTATGTCTCTCGTATCATTCACTACCTCGTTCCCCAACTCAAAGATGCCACATGCACCCAAGAACCACCATGCGCCCCATCCAACATACAGCAGCGCAGCTCGGCTATGGCTGCCTGCTCCTTCCAGCTCGCTTGTGAGCGTGTGAGCACTGGCCAGCGTTAGCGCAGCAGACCTTGCGCAGCATGCAGCCAGTGCCCGAATGCCGAATGTGTGGGCAGGCACTTTCCTAAATGGAAGTGGCCTGCCTGCTTGTGTGCATCTTGGCTGTGTTGGGCCCCTGCCCAGAAGCTTCCAGTAGGCCCAGAGAGGCTGAGCCCCAGTCCAAACAATTCAGGCTTTGGGCCTGTGGTGGTTGCCCGTATCCAACTGCCCGTGGCCTGTGTTCGGTCCATGTAGCGAATCTGGCCCAGGGCCTGCCTCAGTTACATTGAAAAGAGGTGGTCTGGGCCTGGGCGCTCTCAACCAACTGGCACTGCGCAACTGCCTGAATTTCCCCAGTGGTGTGGTGACCCCAAAAATGGCCTGTAGGCCTCAGTCGAGCCTGCCTTCACTTAGGGCGGCCGACTGTGCTGAAGATAGGGCCCAGTAGGGCGTATAGAGGCCTTGTGCCTCGCATTCCCTCCTCCATACTTCGCTAGTCCTCTGAGAAGTTCAGTCTTTAATAATTTGGCGCTTTCCCTTCTGCAGAGATTTTTCATATTGAGCCACAGTCTGAGGAGCGGTCTGCATCAGTTCCTCCCAAGTAAACCATCGATCCTCCTTTGGATCAGCATGATGTATGAACCGAACCCGGTACTGTAGCTTCGGTTTCAGAGGACGTCCCCTGCCTGTCGGTCTTGGAACTGGCATTTCCTTGTGGTCAACGATGTCGTCGATGTCGACCTCTCCATCCATGGTTGGGGGCAGCATTGAGCGACGAGAGGGGAATTGATGTGTTTCCCTAAAAGGTGCCAGCTTGGAAGCATGAAACACAGGGTAAGTACGTAAGTGACCAGGGATGCGAATAACATACGATGGTCCATCCGGTTCATCCCCAACAACATCTAGGACCTCCCATGGTCCAAAGTAATGTGGCATGAGCTTGTGGGAGATCTCGGGCTCCTGTCCCTGTTCCGAGGACTTAACCCAAACTCTCTCCCCTACCTGAAATGTAGATGGGCGGTGGTGCTTGTTCTCAGACTCTATCATCGCCGCTTGTGCCGTGTGCATCTGTTCAACAGCCTGCTGCATCAGTCGCTCATACCGATAAGCAAACTCTAAGGTCCCTGGTGCAGCAGAAGACTGGTTCTCAGGCAGTAAGAAATCCAAGGGCAGTCTAGGCTTAAGGGTCAGTAGCAGACTGTTCGGGCTCGCTCCCGTTGCGTTGTGCACAACGTTGTTGTACAGGCTGGCGATGAGAGCAAGTTTCTCATCCCAGTCTACCTGATTTGGCTTGATGTAGTGGCTCAACAGGTGTTGTACATCACGGTTCAACTGTTCTGCTTGCCCATTCGCCTCCGGATGTTTCCCTGATGTCATATGCAGCTGTGTTCCCTGCTCTGCAGCTGCGGCTTTCCACAATTCACTAGTGAATCGCACATCACGGTCACTGACTACAGATTTTGGCAGTCCAAAATCTCTGACCCAGTTCTCTTTGAACAACTTAATTACGTACTCAGTTTTTGCTGTTGCAGGCATCGCGACTAACCTAGCGTACTTACTAAATCTATCCACAATGACGTAGACATAGCGCATTCCACTCTTGCTGGTGACTAGCGTATCCATGAAGTCCATGGACAGGCTCTCACCAGGCCTTTCCAGAATCGGGAGGGGCTTTAGAAGCCCAAGAGGAGCCTGTGTACGTGGCTTGTCCCTCTGACAGACCTGACAAGTTTCCACGTACAGCTTGGCGTCTCTCATCATCGTGGGCCACCAGAACCGCTGCAGCAGATTGGCTGCTGTCTTTTTGTAACCAAAATGTCCAGTGGCATCGTGACACTCGCCTAAAAATAAACTACGCAAAGACTCTCTATTCGACGCACACAATCGTTTATTCCTGGCCTTCTCAAGGAACAACAGACCGTTGACCAACTCAAACTCGGCAGAAGTCACCTTGTCCTTTGCCTTGAGTCTGCGTATCATCTCGGACATGAACTGGTCCTCGCGATAGGCTTCCACCAAAGAGCGAGTACATCATCCGCAAGCTCGAATTCAGTGATCAGCGCACCAGAGAAGTCAAGCCTACGCAATAAGGCGTCAACAACTTTGTTGTACTCCCCCTTCAGGTACTGGGGTTCGAAGTCATATTGTTCAATGACTTCGATCCAGCGCTTCAAGGCATCGGAGAGCATTGGCTGGGTTCTCATCCACTTCAGGGTCTGATGATCAGTCCTGACGATGAAGAACCTCCTAAGGAGGTAACGTCTCCAATGGGTCAGTGCCTTGTAAATCGCATAGAGCTCCTTTTCATAGATGGACTTAGCCGACTTCTGAGACGGCATCTTTTTGGACATGTACTCGACTGGCCTCAACTATGGCCCCTCCTGCTACGGGAGCACGGCACCAATGCCATGTTGGATGGCATCCGTGGTTACTATAAACGGCTTGTCAGGATTAGGAAGTTTTAAGACCTCATGGTGTGTCAACGCATGTTTCAGATGTTTGAAGGCAACCTCACACCTGTCTGTCCATTCCCACGGGGTGTCAAGCCGAGTCAGGTCAGTCAAAGAGGCGGCCACTATACCATAGTTTTTAACGAAGTTACGGTAGTAGCCGGTCATCCCTAAGAAAAACCTCATCTCAGTCACAGACTGAGGACGCGGCCAGTCACGAATGTTGACCACCTTCGCATCATCAGGCTTCAAACCCTCCGCGGAAATCTCATGACCCAAGTACAAGATTCGGGTGCGACCAAACTCGCATTTCTCCCCATTGATCTTGAACTTGTGCTGCCAAAGGAGACTGAGGACTTTGTTTAAGTGCGCAACATGTTCCTCGACAGTCCTACTAAAAACTATGTCATCGAGGTACACGATGACAAACTTATCCAAGTATTCATGAAAGATCCGATTCATAGCGTGCTGACCACTTGATCTCTTCCGATTCGTTGTTCTTTTTTGTCCTTGTCTTTCTGCTTGTCGGTGATTAGCAACCAGACTGTC